CCCAAGTTTTGCATTAATTTTCTTTTTAGTATAGTGTGACAAAAACTCGTTGAATAGATTTAATAATTTTTTTTGTTAGATACAGTGAAGTCTCTACTACAAAGATGTGTAAAAATATTTAATTTATAATACTTATCGAGGACAGAAAAGTTTTCAGAACATGTTTGACTGAAAAAATTCTTTATAATGCTTCCGAAATTTAGAAGAAAACTTTCATTCACTAAGAAAGTTAGTCTTATTTTTCTTCTTTGATCGTGTTTTGGAGCACGATGATAGGACATTAGAAACAGATAAAAATAGAAATTCCAGGTTATTAGTTAAGTTTGAAATCGACATTTTTCTAACGACGTTTGCAAGCGAGAAATATGCACGACTAACAAGTAATTTCGGAAACTAAGATTTTTTTTCAGCAATCGAAATTAGTCAAACCCCATATTCTAAGTTCAATTAGAATTTAGTAAATCATTAAGTTTTTTAATAAAACTGTTTCCTATGGAATCTATGGTTTTGTAATTTGAATATTTTTCTACTACTAGAAAACCCATGTCGCGTAGATTAAAGTCACACATAACGTGCCTTAAAAGTTTCGAAAACCCAGTGCAAGATAAACCCATCAAATGTAATGCTCATTACTAATTTTGTGTAAAGTTGAATGGCATTGTTTTTTTTCCAGTTAAACATGTTCTGCAAACTTTTCAGTCTTCAGTAAGTATTTTGAATCAAATATTTTTACATAATCTTTCAGTAGAGACTTTGCTCTATCTGAAAAAATAATTATCAAGTCTTTACGACGAGTTGCTGTCATGCTATATAAAAGAAAAAAAAATGCCGAACTTCTTCATCATCCGTTATTTTGCAAATTTTCACCAAATTTCTCGAAGATATAATACTTTTTCTTTTCCATTCAATGTGTGACAATTTTTCATTATCAAAAATAAAGTAACATAATTATATAGCTCATATAAACGTAATCCCAATGTATTTAACAGAATTGGCTACAGGACAACATTTGTTGTCCTGCCTTGAGCCTAGCTCTGATATCTAATCCATCATGAATAATAAAAGAATCATAAATTGTTAAATATATATGTGTTAAATTTGAGTTTAATTATTTGATATACATGGAGTATCAGTTTTCTTGTCACAGATGGAATTCGTTTATTACATATTGAATAATTAAACCAAGTGCAAGTATATGTTTTAAACTATATTAGTAATGTTATAAAATAGGATGAACCTAATACGATGAATAACAGAAGAACTATCCATCTATACATGCAAGAATAATATTAGTAATAAGAAAAAAAGAAATTTTGCTAATGTCTGTGTAAATATCTTAGGTGAACATAACGTTTTATTTCTAAAAAAAAAAGAATTCATTTTTAATTGATCAGTCTTTTAGTAAAAACATCAATAGGGACAAGTTAAAAATGAACTTATTTATTTATTGAGGATACAAATTGTGCTTAGGATATACTAAAAGTAGTGTGATTAGCAACTATTTCGATCAATTAAACTTCGTTAAATATGGTTGACTAAAGAACAACAGCGAATACATGAAGTGCTAGTAGATGACAAACTCTACATAGTTTACACATGAATCGGTTCAGATTCTTCGAATTAGAGAATCTGCAATCAAGCAATCTTCATCAACTACAATGTAGCATAGTAATTTAGCATAAAAACAATTACTCAAATACTCTTTAAAAAAAAACTGACAGATATGAAACTAAGGGAGATTTCTAATCGTTAATTCTCTAAAACTACTTATTAATAGGATGGCAAGATAAAGATTATCGCCTAGCGCTCAATCCATGGAAACTCATTATACTAACAAATAATTATATATTCATAAAAATCCTCTTACTATCCTGTATCAGAACATATCATAATTATTTTATACTCATTTTATTCTACAGATAGAATATTACATTTATTTTAGGTGCTCAATCTAATTGATAAAAATCTTCATCAATTAAATGTCCTCTAATCACAACATGGAATGTCGTAACCAAGATGATAAATTATTTAGTTAAAGATTATTTGAAAAATACTTTCAATAAATTGATTGTGCTTGATTAAGCATGGCTACTAACTCAGATATATGGTAGAGCAAAAGCTTGATTAACTCTTTCTCGTAGGATTTTATTTGTCAAAATCACCACTTTTGCTATGTCCTAGGTTGTCAACCACTTATTTTTCATTGATGGATGAAAAGGAAAATTTTAAAAAACATGAAAATATGTCGAAAAATAAAGGTGCCATATATCATTGCTTTGACCGCAGTAAATTTTATATGCATCAAATGCTTGTATATTTATCTAAATAATGTAATATGAGTAAAACAAATTCTTGTTACGTACCATTATATTTTTTGTTCTAGCATATGTCTCAATAAAACTCTTGATTTATTAATTTGAGACATGGTTTTTGTAAAAATGTTTTAATGAAAGATAAGAAACCACGTTTATAATTGACTCTCATATACGATACTAAATTTTTCAAAATTGGAAGAAACTCTTCAACTATTGGTAGCCTTATTCTAAATAAAGAATCAAAAATAAATAATGTTGCTGGAAAAAAGTCATCGTTTTCGTATTCAATACAAGCAAAGTCTTTGAAACCTGGATAAATTATTGCATCGATTGATTACTAAATAACTAAAAAGTTTGAGGTCTATAGTCTTTACTCTGGGTGAGAACCGGTAACAGCATCATCATGAACTATTTTTCGATTTTCCCCATAATCTTTTCGTTAATATTTTTAAAACAATACAACTGTTCGAAAAAAAGAGAAACCCACATCAATTTATTAATGTTTGTATATTTGATAACCATACTCATCAGTTAGCTACTAATTTTAATCGTGCTGATAATAGTATTGATCATTCGTTGACAATAAAGAAACAACAAATTTGTTCCATTCCTTTTCAATGTCATTTTTCAATCGTTCCATATTACTGGATTTTCGCCTTCGTAATTTCTTCTTTATATACACTGCATAAGTTGTCTATAGGCCATAGTCTGATTAACTTTGTAGCACAATTTATTGATTGAATTCGATTGATAACAGCATGTTTGACGTCGTGTTCATAGTCATGTGCATTCTTTGTTTAGAATCTTGATCATCTTGCAGAGTGACATTAAAAAGGAATGAAATAAATTTAGTGTTTCTTCATGTCAATGAATGATTGATAAAATACTAACACGATTAAAATTAGTAATCTATGAACATGGTAATCAAATGTACCAACATTGACAACTTTATGTAAGTTTCTCTTTTTTCTTTCGAAAAGTTGTATTGTTATAAACATATTAATGAAAAGATGATGGGGATAATCGAAAAAATTGTCCATGACGATGTTGTTACTGATTCTCACCCATAAGTAAAAGCTATAAAGCTCAAACTTCGTAGTTATCTAGTGTTAAGCATGTACAATAATCTACTAACATTTCAAAGACTTTGCTTTTGTTGAATGCAAGAATGATGAATTTTAAAGTCCTCTTAGAACTTCTGGGTCACCCGGTATATTTTCCATGATAGAGAAAAATTCGTTTTCGTTTATATGTAGAAGACGAAACTAAAGACAGTTACATCTATAATAATAAAACAGCAGATATGACTTGATGATTGTTAAATCTGTCCATACGAACATTTTATTCGAACTTAAAAGGAAATTTAGCTATTTAATAATGATTCGAAGTAAAGCATCATAATCACAGTAAAAAATATGTTTACATGAATTTTTCTAATCTAATCAATGTTTCAAATTGTAAATCCAAACAAAGAACATATAATTAATAAAACAAGTATATTCTACTAAATGCAAATAATGTAAAAAGAATACAAAGAGAAAACTTTTTTTTTTTATCTTAAATAATCATTGCATTCACTTTTCAATTATCATTGTAGAAACAAATAATAATATTTAAATTTTNTGTATCATGCCTGTGACAAGTGATTATTTTCAAGAAAAGAATATTCTAAAAGTCATTCGATCTATCTACAAACAAAGTTTCACGTTGAAATGCTAATGTTCTGACTTTCAGTAAATACCTAAAGCTGTATCGAAAATTCAATGTAAAACGATCATAAATCGACTTCAAAGATTCATGGGTATGAATCCTTTTAGAATCTTTCTAGTCTGACCAAAACGTCCTTGTAGGCCTAATAAAAATTCAAACAGTGCATATAAGTACGAATAGTTTCCTCATAAGAGTATCGAATTCGATGACGAAAAACAAAAAGGTATCCAATTTCGAAAATGGAATGCTTGAATGAAAAAAAATTCGATAGGGGATAATACAAAACTAATACTATTGTGATTAAATCGTTTTTCTATTTTAGTACAAATATCTAGGAATCAATGTATGGTTTCTCATATATTTACCTTTTACTGTATATAGATAGAAGTCATTTTGTCTTCAACTGTTTTTTTTTTTCTTTATTTGTGTGTATTTTCGTTTAACGAACCTTATTGGGTTTTTTTTTGTCTTCTGTTCTTTGCTCACCTTTTGCTTGTCTTTATCAATTATATGTATACAAATTTTCTGTTAGTGTTGGTTCTTTTTCTCATCGATCAATTATTATTGTCGATGTTTATTATTACATATTTTTCTGTTTGTGCAAACGAAAATGTGTTTTTTTTTTTCTTTATCAAAAGGAAAACAAAAGATTTATGATAAATGATGAAAAAAAAAAAAAGAAGCGTTTCGTTGATTTTAATAATGAAAGTATTGTATATATAAGAAGAGGAATATAACAGATGTTCTTTTTTTCTCATATTTTGACAGATTAGAATCAGTAGTTTGATGATTAAACTAAAATAAGAAAGTAATTACCTTTATTTTTTATTTATTAGAAAAAAAAAAAAAATCAATGAGAAATACTTGAAATTAATTATTGAAAATAATTTTATTATTTTTGTACAATCGATTATTTGTAATTATGAAGACGAGAAAGATTTTTATTTATTTTAGATTTTATATTTTCAAAAAGAAATGATTGAATTACCAGATTTATTTCATGAAAATCGGTATGAGAAATAAATTTTGTTTGAATTTAAATTATTTTTCTATATGTGTATAGAATTGCTGAATTAACACTATCATTAATTCTTTATGCACCTATTGGTCTTTGTCTTGTACTTATTCGTTCTATTGCATTAATATTTTTATTTCTTATTTCATCTCTCTTACCTGCAAGTTTATCTCTTGACCAGTAAGTTAGTTTTGATTTAATAACTAGAAGATTAATTTAAATATAATAGATTTATAAATGAAGCTATAAGTTTTATATTAACATTTATTTATGTTGACGAAGCTGTTCAAAATCGACATGAAGATAATAAAAAAACAACAAAAATTATTGTTGCTAATCGAGTATCTTGTTTGGATTCGATTGCATTGAGAAGACTTTTTTCTAATAATAAATGTAAAATGGTATGTATAAATATAGTTCTATAATATATTTGATCTAAATTAAATATAAATTTAGATAAATTTATGGAAAGAAAATTCTTGCATTAATTATTTCAAGTTAAATTCAATCAATACTTCTCGTACACAAGAAGATTTATTGGATTTATGTGTCAATGAAATTCAAAATTCTGGTATAGTTTTATATTATGAAATCACTTATAATGCGAAAGTCTAGGCACAGAATTTTTCACTGTATCCGAATATGTGTTAAGATTTTCCTTTTGAGATGACATTGAACAACTATCAGTAAATTTTGTGAAAAAGTTCAAATTTATATCTTGGAATAGACATTATTGTGTAGAACGTTGAGTTTCATACACAATCAGATATTATAATAAGGAAAATTTCATTTATGTACTTCTACTAAAGAGTTAGTTTCCATCGAAATCAACATTTGTTAAAAATTTGCTATTTCAAGAACAGCTATTAAAAATGGAAAAGCTTTCAAATCTGTCATGCAAAAATAAGCAGCGCACTTCATAGAACAAATTTTGTTCTACAAAATTGATAAGAGAATCTCTTCAAAAGTACCTTTTCAATTTCAATGGTTATACTACATTATATTCTAATAAAAATTCTAATAGGATATGACTTATTTATAGAATATTTTTCTAGAAATTCCAGATTTTCGGAAAACTCATATTTTCGAATTTTGATCTGAAACTTTATGCATATAGAGAACTCAACTAGACTAACTTCTATAAACAAACTCAAATGATTTTGAACAAAGTCTCTTCGAGATATGAACCTTTCAAAAATGCATCTTATATACACTCCATGAAAAAAGAGTCTACATCTTTGAAGTTTCATATCTCGAAGAGATTTTATTCAAAACTTCTGAATTTTTTTATGAAACTTAGTATAGTTGAGTTATGAGTTTTTCGAAAATCTGGAAGCTCTAGAAAAAATTTTCAATAAATAAGTCATCTTTCAATTGAAATTAAAATCCATTTTAAGTTTTTATTAGAGTACTGTGAAATAATTCTTGAAATCGGAAGAGAATATTTGAGGACGTTCTCTCGTACGTCATTCCAGATTTTTTATCATTTAGATTTTGATAGGCGCGCATCGAAGTAAAAAATTAATCAAAATAGTATTCTGTACAATGAGTATATTTTAGGTCTTTTTGAATAATATTACCCACAGAAGGAATGCCTAGACACATATTCGAAAAGAATCTGATTCTAACTAATTCTTATCAGTTGTCTTTAAATTACCGACAACTAAGAGAATATTTTTTGTGAAGGCTTTCGCACCATAGATTAAAATAAGTGAAAACTTTATTTCACAGGTTATCAACTTCTCTTCTTACCTGAATTTGAACCGACAACTGGTTCTGATGGTTTGTTAAAGTTTAAGTAAAGAAATTATTATTTAGTAATTTTTTTTTTTGCCTGAATTTTACGTTGATTTTTCTTTAGTATTTTGCCATTTACTCTTGCGAAAAAGCTTCAATTATCTATACTACCAGTCTGTCTTCGTGCTTCTCGTGCATTTAAAATTAGAACTGTAAAATTAATTTTTTAATCCTATTCTATATGATTTTTATTTCTTGTTATAATTTTAGAGTATTTTCAATAGTCATCCATTTACTGATCTTTTCTGGTTTTTATTCAGTCCTTATACACGATTTCATATAAAGTAATAGAATTTATATGTCTAATAAGACTATATGATTGTTTTGTCTTGTAGTTTTTTATCAAGTATCCCTCCAACAGATTTATCTTCCGATGAAGTTTTCTGTGAACAAATCCGTGAAACTATGTGTCGAAAAATGGGTATAGAATTGACTCAATTCGATGAACAACAAGTATCTGAACTTAAAAAACGACCTGATCTTGTTCATCGTCGACATAGTAAATTATGAATATGAAAATTTTTTCATTTGAAAATATTCTTTAATTTCTAGATCAACGTCGAGTTGAATTTCACCAAATGATTAATCTTGTTCATCAGCAAGTACCTCTTGCATCAATAGAAGCTATTCGATATGATCTTGGTTTGTAAATTTGTTCTTTTTATTTTAATTTTTGCTTTTCTTATAAATTCGAATTATAGAAATAACTAAAAATGTTCAAAGAACAATTGCAAATTTAAATGAACGTGTTGCTGCAGCAACTCGAGCACCAAACAAATCAACATTATCAACTACATCTTCTCATGCAATAACAAAATCTTCCGGTGGCAGTAATCATCGTCAAGTATATGAACGACTAAAGCAAGAATTAATCGAAAAAAATCGACAATTATTTTTGAAAAAAAACTGTAATTAAAATATACCCGATAAAGATTTTTTTTTTTTGAAAAACCTAGTTTTTTTTTTATAAACGGCACTATAGAAATAAATAAAAAACAACAATCAGCAATGTTTACCTCTATGTAGGGTTGTGCTTACATCATGATGGTGAAATTATTTTTTCATCTTTCTGTTATTTTGCAAGCTTTATATTTCTACATGTTGTTTTTCTTTTCATTTATTGTTCTTCAAAGCAATATATTATGTGTTTAGTTCATCATAAACGATTTCGTTCTTCATTTCACAGTGTTATTAATGAATTTCGAAATGAAAAACATATGGCAATATCATTTTTACGTACAATACCACGCCAATGTTGTACATGCCATGATGAAAATGAAGAAACCATAGAACCGATAGTTGTTATAAAAGAAGAGAATGAATTAATAAAATTAAAGAATCTCACTGAACGAGTTAATCAAGAAAAACAAACGGATTCAAAATTAATTTTATCGTTAAATATACTGAAAAATCTTATTGAAAAAAATCGATGTTCTACTCCATTGTCATCAGAATCACACTCAATTAAAAAGCAAAAACAACGTAATCTATCATTTAATCGCAGCAGTTCTTCATCAAGCTCGAAAGACAGCAGTCCTTCATCGAGTTCAACAAATAGCAGTTCTCCATCAGATTCTGATCATAAAACTCCACGAAAATCAATTAAAAATGGAACATTTCTTTTCTTACCATATAATTTCGATCATAAGGCTAAAACAGGAAGATCTGATAATTTATTAGAAGTAGCCAAAGAATTGCAGCGTAAACAATTTATTGTTTGTACCCACTGAAAAATATTCCGGAGAAAATCCAGATTATTTTTGATTAGCGACGGACAAATCCGATTTTTCAAACAAAACCTCTATTTTTTCTAGAAGAATCCGATTAAAATCGCTTAAAANCTTATTGTTCAAGGGACCAATAAAATGTGCTCACTTACAGAATAAGGAGATGATCATAATCGAGAGACTCATTTCCAGCAAAATATGCTCGGGCGGCCCACGGCGTGCTCAGTCTGAGGAGTTGCTCGTTTTCGGGAGGGGCTCATATATAGAGGTTTTACTGTAATTGCAAAATATCCTCGATGTACTTTTCTCATCTTACGTAAATAAGCCGATCGATGTGCAGATTCATGTTGACATCTTAAACAATATTTATTTTTAGGATTTAATTGTTTTCGTCGATGAATTCTTATATCATTATCTTGAAGTTTATTTCCAATTGTTAGGATGTGGATGTTCATGTCTTCTCATCTACACCCACACCCAGCTGCCGCCAATTTATTTTCAAAAAATAACTGTAACATCTATGACAATTAAAGCGACAAAATCAGTATCCGGCAGATCCAACATGTCTATCAGAGCACGCACTCGCATCGCCATAGTCAAACCTAATATGCCGGTAACATCTCCTAGTAATGCAACTGCAATAACTATATTATATACAAAACAAAAGACGTGCCAGTAGTTAATAGGGAAACAGAAAAAACTATGATTTCGTCTAGAATTAAAGGACAAGCACATTATAATTGCAAATATTCCATAGAACAACTGCGAGTCAATACTGTTCATAATTTCAAACTTGTTTGATTACACTCGAACAGCAGTAAGCCGAACGTAAATAACCTCAAAAGGTTTCCTCGTGAGATGTGCACGTCCCATTGCGACGACAGTATTCGATTTCACGAGTCAATCGCACGTAAATGATTTGAGATTCGGTTTGTTGTCGCACGCACGTATCAAAAATACCAGCTAAAAATCAAAATCAGCATTAGGTCATAATTAGTTACACAGTGGCTCAAATATGATCGTGCAATATACTCAGAATTTTGAACGTGTTAAGGGTGTTGGTGGGTGCCAGTGTCACGTTCTATCCTCATCCACACCCACCGCATCCAAATGAACAAAAGTACAATTAATTTGTGAGTTCTTGTGTTAGCTTGCACAAGAATTTAAGAAAAGAACTGCATTTATTAACAGTAGTTGGCGTACCTGTCATTATTTGTATTTATTTTTCAAAATGTAAATTTCTTTCAAAAAGTCCAAAAAGCGTGAAATCAAAGAAAAGGGCCAGTAGGCAATTCTTGACGCTGCAAGTAAACCAAAGACCGCCATTTGCACCCCACAGAACATTGTAGCGTGTATTCCAACGATTTAGACGTTAGGCCAATTTACTCTATTATGAAACTTTCAAAGGCATGCTTTTTATTCTGAACTATATTTACTTCGTACATGTATGTTCGATAAAAATGATTGTGATTTTCGCGCTTTCGTGCGCAGCTGTTAACATTAAGAAAAGTTCGTACTGTTCCTCAGTGAAAAATACACCATCAATTCACAGCTTGATTGTGAGCATATTGACAGATATTGATAGAGTGAGTACTCGTAGTGATGAATTTTACTATGGCTTATTTTCGATTTACGGCAACAAAAATATGTTCGATTCTAGTCAAACGTAAACACCTTGAGGAGATGAGCGACTTACGATAGATCTCAAGAATGATTATTTGCTTTTTATGAGATTTCGTTTTTTGTTTATTGTTTCACTTTTATTCCTACAAGAAAAAAAAATAGAATAGAACAACATAACATCAATGGTGTCAAGTGATTGTATTTTTTTAAGTAGATTTTGCATCGACAGATGCATCTAAGGTTATCATTGGTAATGAAACTTTTTTTGTTTGAAGTATTTCCTCACATGTTTCATCTTCTGCTTCACTTAACTCAAAAGTTGTTTTACTTAATGTATCAATCGATATACGATGAACGACTCGTTGTGTTTTACAACATTTTCGACGTATGAGTTGATAAATAAGGATAAAATAGAATGGTTGAACTGAGGCATAGGAAGCAATGAATGGAATGACAGTAGCTCGACTATTTTCTGGTGCTGGCAATGAATAAAGTAAAACCATAAACGCAATTCCAATATTTTGAATACCTTAAACAAAAAGCCAACAATACAATTTTTATTTGAAGAAAGAAAAGACTTATTATATAAATCATTCGAAATTATTTATTAACACCAAAAACTGTTAATATTCAACATTTCCAACAGAAAAAAATTGAAAAAGTCAAGTAATGCATTATTTTCTCCTTAGCCATCATCTACAAAGAACGTTCATATGAAAATCACAATCATTTGCTTTTCTCTTAAATCCTGATTTATCTAATTTCAACGATCCCTTCCACATCTTCTGAACGTGCAGTATAAAAAAAAACAAATTTGTAGAAAAAACCTACTTGTTCAAATATGGTGCTTCTATTGTATTAAATAACAGTTCAGTATTCGGATTTATAGAATTCTGAAAGTTAACGCTTCGATTTTAGCTCCGAATTCTTACTTACTTCTTTCATAAAAAGAAAAGAAAAACAGATTTTTCGGCAAAGCTCAAAACTACAACGAAAACTCATAGTGAAACTTCAAAAACGTTTGTATTACTTCGAGACGTGCATCTCTCTGACAAAGTTTGAATGAGTTTCTAGTGATTTGCTGCTCTTTAGATCATTGTGACACAAGAAATAGATTTTGTTACAATAAAAAACATGCAAATTACATAAATGTTGTGCTATGAGGTGCTTCAGACCTTAAATACATTGTATTTTAATATGCAGGACATCGTCAAAAACAACGAAATGAAGTTCAGTGCAAATGACACTCGAAAATATAACAACATTCACATGACTACTCCACAAAAACAACTATCTGTTCATGTAACATAATTTGAAATTATTTCAACATCATACATATATTCAACTGATCCATTCAGTTTATTTTGTAATTATTTAAAAAAGATTTTTGAAACAAGCTAAGTTTGAAAGTTTCATCAAGATGAATGCTTGAACATCCTTTATGGTTGACATCTTAGCAATAAAAATAAATAATCATAATTATTAATTAATCTATATGAGTGAATTGCAAATATATTGTACGATTTTGTGAAAAAGTGGACTAGAAAAAAATTTCGATGTGAAAACGGTGATTATTGCATTTCATAATACTATACCAGAGGAGAATATGAATGAATTGTTCCAACTACCATTATCAAATTGGCCAAGGTACGAGAGTTTTTTTTATTAAAATACTGTTTGAAAATTCAAGCTCGAATGACTTTGATAGTACATATCTCAGTTGAATTTTTCGACGATATTTTAAATTTTTAAGTTGAGCCTTGTCTTTGTAATGAAGAACCATGTTTGGTCTAAGATTAGCAGCTGAGATAAAATGATTTTCTCTAAATTATATTTGGTTTTTACACTAACACAGTGGTAAAATTTGCAAATATGTCAACCTATGAGACACATGCTAGGATTAATTTGGACGACTTTTCATTGTTCCTCAAATATGAAGTCAAGCGCTATATAATGTATTTATTCTGGCTTTAATTGTCAGATAGTTATGTACATAATAATCTCGCGTAAAATTTAGCATGAAACCTGCATTTTCAAGTTTTATGTTATATTTTTTCTTTCCAAGAAGTAATACGATTTTTTCATCATTTTTTATGGTTTTATCTGATATTTTTTGACTTTCATTCAACAATATCCTGATTCATTTTAGACAGATTATTTAATTTCGCGTGACAGAAAATCCAGGGATAAATGAAATGTACCCTCTGATATTGAGAAAAAATATAATAAAATTGTAATGAAAGAGTCAATCAGCCGTATATTCGAAAACCACAGACTAGTATTTACTATAAATTCGGCAACTTCCAAAATTCATATAACTATAGAACAAATCAGCGATAAGTAATTTTTTTATTAATAGCTGACAGTAAAAATTCATCTTTTTAAACTTGTGCGCCTAACATCTCGATATTGGCTTGAAATAAATACATGATCTTTTGTGTATTAGTGGAGACTTCTGAGAAGAGTCTAATCTGAAAACAAATGATAAAGATTGATTGAGAGAAACGAGAAATATTGAACTTTTACGTCTAAGAATATAAGGATACAGTAAAGTTGCAATTCACTCATATATTTATATAAAATATATATTTGTTTTACCTGTTTCAATTCCAATTGTTATAATTCGTTTCCAATCTTGTCTACAAATCCAAGCAAATAAACAACTCAATAAAAATCCTGACCATGGTAATAAAGGTATTGTTAATGCTGTTTTTAAGTCAATATAAAAAAGTAAATGATAATTAACAAAAGCAGCAAATATAAAGAAATAACATGTAAAGAATATTAACGTTGGTTTCAAAATACATTTTATTATTGGTTTTAATTTTGGAATAAAATGACTAATAAGCATTCCTAATCCCATTGGTAGAATGATTGTTAATAATGATTGCAATAAATTCAAAAATGATATCCGAATTTTAAGTTGACGTAAGAAAGCATATTGTCCAAGTGTATATAACCATAATGGCATCATAAAAAATGATGCAACTGTTGATGCAAATGTCATGATTGCTGATAAATTAAGATCACCATCAAATAGAACTGTCCATTGATTTAATGCTGATCCACCTGGACAACATCCAAGAACAAATAAACCAAGACTATATAATGGCTCATGTTGAAAAAAATTTGATATAGAAAAAGCAATTAATGGCATCAAAATGTATTGACAAACCAAACCTATTGAAATTTGTATTGGTCGATGAATTAATTCTTTTAAAACTTCTATATCAAGTAATATACCCATTTGAATTGCTATAAGCATAAGTATAAATGGCAAGAAATTTTTAAATATTTTATCTCTTAAACGTTGTGGCTGTGATATAATTAAAATAATCGAACAATTGATAGTATGAATATGACTTTTTATATTAATAAATTCAGTAAAATAATGAATATCTGTTTGATTTATATATTTTGCATATATTTTTAAATCATAATTTATTATTGATTTATTATCATATTCTATAGAATTGAATAGAAAAACATACGATGCAAAAGTACTGGCACAAGGTTGAATCTTATATTTGCTCATAGACACAGTTTGAGCAAGAAAATTTGTTTTTATCACCCTCAGCACTTTTCATTCAACTCAAAATAATGACACAAAATATCATTACGTTTTCTTTCAAAATATACTAGAATGAAAGTTTTTTTAATTAGATGACAGAAAATCTTGATGAAAGTGACGTGAAAAATACTCGCATAAGAAATTTTCGATATTTTAAATTGATTAATCAAGGAAATCTTGTAAGCCAGTAGTTAAATTTTTATCAAAACAAAATTAGTACTTTGGAACAAATGATTTATTTACTTTTAGCATCCATTCTTAAACATTTTCAACTTATTCTGATTAATAACATTGAAACACTCAGATAACTTACTTTGATCAGATAGAATCGATTCAATCCCAAAAAAGCGCCAACCGATCTCATCTAAATCTGATACTCTCATACATTTACTAGCTTGTCTATCAGTTTTTACTCGGTTCGGTTCGACTTTGTTCTAGAAAAAACTTATTGGGGATTCACAAGGGAACCTTATCAACTGTCTCCTTTTGATTTCTATGATTCTTTGCCTATAGGTATTATAGATTGTATTTTAATAAAAACAGTAAAAAGATTTAGACCCTATGTTTTCGGCAGAATTGTATTTTCGAATATTGATTGGAAACTTTGCATATAGGGAACTCAACTAGTTGAGTTCCCTATATGCAAAGTTTCCAATCAATATTCGAAAATGCGATTTTGCTGAAAACGGAAGGATCAATGTCTGAAGGGAGTTCTATCACTAATGGATTTCATTAATTATATAATTTTTAACAAGAAATGTTTACTGATTGCCCTTTGTTCGTTCATCTTATGTATATATTTAATCAGTATAGTGTACAACGCTTCTTCTGAAGATTTTTTTAGAATAAAAAAATCAGCCATTGTTTTACAAGATTTGTCTGATAACTCAATAAAAAAATTGAATATTTTTTATGTGAGTAGTTCTCATGTCACTATAATAATGAATGCGTGACGAATACAAATTATATACTGTCCTTTAAAAAGGAAAAACAAATTTTTATTATCTAATAAAAACCACGTATCGTTCTGAAACGTGTTGAAAGAAGACACATCGACATTTGTATCATTATTTTTAATTGAATGAACAGTACTGAGCTATTATTAGAGTATCTCTGTGTTTTTTCTCACGTCACTGTACTTATAAATATCTAATAAAAATATGCCATAGATAGTTTGAAAAAAAGAGAAAATTTCCTATTGAATCAAAAAACAAGTTTTTTTTTGCAGAACTTTGTCTATAAAGAAATAGAAAGTTTGGCTCTCTTTGCCAATACTTTTGTATCGTACATTGTTTATTGCTTTATTATTGTTAAGAAAAGTGAAACAATTGAAATTTATTCAAAATTTTTGAATATAATTGAATTTGAATTATTACTTACGTTCGGTTTTTTTCATTAAATGAAAAACTTTTTCAATTGAATTACGATGATCTTGAAATTCTGCTACTTTTTTATTTCGAATAAACGCACGTATACGTATTGTATGAATGTTCAATTGTTTAAGTCGAGTTTGATTCAACGTCATACGTACAATTCGTGTAGTAAATAATGGTATAATATAACTGCTATTATAAATACATAAAGATTGTTCTTGTTTAATAATCGATTGATTTTGACATTTGGATGAAAAAATAAATATAGTTAATAAAAGAAAAACTCTAAATCTCAGCATTTGATTATTGTTTTTTTTTTTTTTTATATAATACGAAAGCACTAAATAAATATGCAAAAATGAGGTACAGGTATCTATTAATTTATTTTCAACCGTTCTCCATGATTGATTTTGATCATTTGATTGGCTTGCTAGTACTTTTATATTATATATAAGTTGATCACCTTGACTAGTATGGTCTATAAAAGTCAGACACTCAGATCGATCGATTTTGACGTTCGTCAAAAAACAAAAAAACATTTTAAAATGATAATGTTTGGATGACATACAGTATTTTATCATACATATAATCCTGTAAAATTTGGAATCTTATTAAAAAAGTTGATGTATTATTTGGATCTTATATAAAACATTATAAAACAAGTCGAACACAATTTTTAATTAAAATTTCTATATATTCATTAACAAAATATTTTAAATAAATCGTTAAAAACAAAAAAAAATTCACCACTAGGTTCAATAAATAATGCTTTATTGGTTTGTTTTCGATATTCAAAATAGTTAGTATAAGAAAAAAAATGTGATACTAATAAAGTAAGATGGGATAATTGAGCATGAAAATTTATGACTTTTTTATTTCAACAAAAAAAACCTCTATTGAGGAATTGTATTTGAAGTTTATAAAAATATCCTCTGGTAATGTTTTAACAAACATTTTGATGAAATTTATTATTAGCGACGTCAAAGCAGCTCGCATGGACTGATTCGATAGTATTAACTATAATTAGCATGATTAATGAAATGTCATTTTCTTATGTCTAGTGTAAATCATTTTGTGAATAATATTGTATGGTTCAATAGTTGAAATATTTCTTTATCAGTTCATAGTATTAAGTTTTTCTTCCAAGTAATATACATAATTTTGTTTCATCCGATTTCAGTATTTAGTATCTGATAATGAATCAGTATAATCTTTTAAGATCTTTTAAAAGATTTAGAATATATAAACCTTTTATAATATTTTGTTCTTCAAATAAAATAACTAAGATATATTCTAATTAAAAAAGTAACCATAAACGAGTTAATAAATATCAAGCTGAGTATTTTTTTTCATCGAGTTTTTGGAATGATAATGGATAAATTTAGAATTTCATATTATAATATTATTTTTCTTTTTTAATAATTCTTATTCAGTCAAAAATTGATTTCGAGCTGGCTACATTCAAATTGCATGAAATTTCCAGGATATGTTACGGTACTAGTGAACAGACTGTGCTAAAATTTTCAATTCTAGATTCAGTCTTTTGCTTTATTTGAAAGAAAGTGTTAGAGTGCTATGTCCTTTTCCTAAATTCGTCTTTTTTATGCGACGAAATAGGATAACAAACTGAATACCTCGGAAAATAGTTGTTTATTTATAGAAGTGCTTTTTTATATAATAATAAAAAAGCTTAATTAAGCAAAACGAGCAATGTAGCTTCGCATTCTCTTTGAAACAAAAAGTAAAGCAATGAACTAGAATGAACATCCTTCGAGAATATTGGGATGCACGATCAAAGAAACATATTTTTCATGCAGAAGGTAACGCCAATTATCAAAACACGAGATACCAAATAAAAAATGATGTCGTTTATGAAAGCTCAATCTATCTTTCACAATTTCGATTTTTCTGACAAAAATTGACTTTTTGTCTTTTTTAGAACGAACTCAATTAAAATAAAATGCATTCCATCCTATTGACTCTATTTACTTCTTTTTTTTCTTCTACCTAAGAACTTAAATTGTGTACAAAGATTGAATATTCTCATTTGACCATAACCCAAAGTGACATTTAATTCATATGAATTTATTAACTGATTTAATCTTGTCTACAACTTTGTAACACTACTAAAATATTTATATAGAAAATCAGTGTATTTTCCTCTTAGTAATGATAGAGTTCGCCGAGTCCAAAATTCTTAGACCGGAACCACACTCCTAGTTTGAACAATCATTTTTTTGTCTGGACCTCATTGTTACTCCGAAGATGTAAGATACTATTTATCGATTATTTATATTCTACAACTTACATACCCTTCACATTTCTTAGGCACTCTTGACAGTAACCTTATAACAATCGAGTCATAATTGGCTGCTACTTTTAAAGTATAGCTCATTGAGTCAATTCCAGAGCCGATCAATAAAAATTCTGTTGGCCCGAGTCTCATTACGTGCACGACTAACTCAACTGATTTTAAGTAATGATCTTTTTTTCTTGTAATAAAGTCAATTGAATAAATTTACACATATTTTAAGAGAGTCATTTCTGTATTAATTTTTCTTAAAATTACTATTAATACCAATAAATCAATTCAAACATTTTTTTTTCTAATCAGATTTGATTGATTAAACATTTATTTTATGATTCTAGACAAAGTAACTATCAACTTAATTTTCAAACAAAAAGCAAAACAATAAGAAAAAAAAATAATTATTTTTTTTTTTACAATATAAACACGCTTATAGATGAATTATTATTCTTTATTTTGATATTCAATAGGTAATGATGTTTGTTGATATTGTTTAATTATTTGACAATGATCATATTCTCGTCTTGTACATAAATCTTTACATTGAAGAACAATTGTTCTTGCTTTTATAATTCTTTTTCTTAAATTTTCCATACTTGTTCGACTTCCTGCATACGATCGTCGAATATCATAACGCATATCTTTAATAATTTGCAATAAAAATAAATATTTTTCAGCTAATATTGTTGATTGTGGTTTAATTGTTATTGTAGGAATTGAATGAGATGATGAATATAAATGATGATTTGATATTAATGAATAACGTAAACGTTTTGTTGTTGTTGAATTCATTTGTTGTAAATGATATTTAAATAGCGCGAATTCAAAGTAATGAACATTGTTGTTTATCACGAAATGGATTATCTTTAGGTGATTGAAAACCCGTAACAAGTGCATCACTTGATTGATGATCAGTAATATAACGAACAAGATCTTTACAAACAATTGATACTTTTGTACGTTCACGTCTTGCTTCTTCACGTAATTGTTCACATAAACGTCGTTGAGTAGCCAATACATTTTGTGCATGATCTTAAATAGTTATTATATATTAGTATCAAATGATTTTGAAAAAAACCAAAAGTATTTTATGTGAATCATGCAAAGTAATTTTGTTCAATATAAAACAAAAAGTTCTCATGTATGTCAAAATAAATGAGCTTCAAAACATGCACACATCTATTGTGAAAGCTTCTCGACTTCTCATTAATTGTTAAACAAATGTCATTAAGAATAAATTTTTGGAAGTTTTCTTTTGCCCTTCTGAGATAACAAAAAAACAAAAACAACAACAATTTGTAAAACTTACAGTCAGGTGCGTAAGATCGAGATGAAGAAAAATTGTCCGATATGCGCCGACTTGGAACACCATCACGATTTGTTGGATATTGATTACTAGTATTATTATTATTACCTTGTTGGGCAGACATATGATATGATTTATAAACTTGAAATAAATAATAATCGATTTAATAGGAAATTATTCCCCAGAGACTTTTGTAGTAATTCTTATTTTGTTTTACTTTAATTATGAAAATAATGTTGGCTGTTAATAGCGTAAATCAATATATATGAAAAACTGAATACCTTTATCGTTTTCTTTTCTGTGCACTTTGTCAATCAATTTTTCGTATATATGTATATGTATAATTAAATATAGTAGATCAAACGTGTTTGGTACTAGTTGCAGTAGTAGTAATAGTAGTCGTCAATGTCTAACAAACCTTTTCTTCTTTCATGTAAAAAAAAACGAGAAGAGCTAGTTAGAATAGAATATAAATAGTAATAATAAAAGGAAACAGAAAAAGAAAATGCAACAAGAGTTTTTTTTTCTCTTTGTCCTAATAAGGCTATTTCTTTTGAAGGAACTCGAGGACAATTTCTCTTATTGCATTTTTTCTCTTCTTCTTCTTCTTCCTTTTTCCTTTTCTAAAACACTTAGATAATAACGAGTGGTACACAAATTTTGCAATAGTTTTGTTCCTCTTATATCTTATTGAAGAAGCAGCATTGAAGAAAAACGAATCATTTTTTTCTTTGAAAAATTGCCTATGATATCTTCTACAAACTTTGGTTTTTGATTGTTAAAATTAAACATAGAACAGTAATTTAATAATAGATATAAGGATTTCTAATGAATAAAACACGATTCTAAAATATTCTAAAAATAGAACACAAAGTATTTTATTATTTCCTTTCTCAAAGAAGAAATAATTTTAAAAATAAGATACACAGGTGAATAGACTATTAAAAAATTTTGCTAATTAAAATTTTTTTCAAAAAAACTTTAATTTTACTTAGTCAGAAATAAATGAATATTTTCAAGCATTCCAATTTTTTCAAAACTACTATTTGACAAGTGATTGCTTTTTACTTCAAGAAAAATTATTATAGTTAGACTGCCACATGTTTCAAAAGCAAACGTTGTAATTACAGTTTTATGGACACTTGTTCCAACTATCTGATTTATATGACTATGATTAAGAATTTTTTTTTTTACTATAAAAAATATTCTCTATCATCTTAACAACTACGAGTGCAAATTAGTTTAATGATATGCTTTTCTCAAAAGAAAAACACTTGAAAAAACTATGATTTTGAGATGTTACATAATCGTACTTTTACGAAGAGTTATCAACTTATATGAACAGATTTTTTTTAAATATTTTTGTGATCAGTCAAAAATTCATGCTACATTTTCATGTCGAATATATATGTTTTTCAAGGATTCAAAATAATTAGTTGGTAACATAAAGTCAGCATATTCGTGTGAAACATTTCGAAAATAAAGTTTTTAGAATACTTCATAACCCATTTTTGAAAAATAAACCCGTTCAACATTCTATAATGTTTCTATATTTATATATACAAGAAGAAAAAAATTAATATATAATGTTTACATGATCCATCAATAATAATAAAAATGATATTAGTTTAAAGAGCACAAGAACATCAGGTCTAGTTTCTTTTCTTTTATTAATAATTGTTTAT